ATTTTTGATATATTATTATTTAAGGAAATTCCATCCCTAAGGCCAAGCGGGTCAAGTTTTTTTTTGTTTATTGTTCAGTGTATCTTAACCTGTCAGCGAGGTGGCAGGGCCATTAAGTTTGCCGCTGTGTGTGTGTGCGCGTATCTGTGTGCCTTCAGTTGAAGTACAAGTACAAGTACGCGACTTAAACAAGTGAGGCGGCGCAAGTCAAGAACAACAACTACCGTTTCACTTAGCGCATTTTCAAACACGCGCATTTTTGCCGTTTTCCGCGCGTTTGTTTGCGTGTACCGTTCTAAAAATAAAGCAACCGTTTCATGTGCAGTCTCCCCTTCCCCTGTTGATACATACAGACATACATATGTATGTTTGTACATACATACATACATACCTCAACGACTTCTTCCACATCTTTTTCAACTTCTTCCTGACGGATAGAAAAAGATTGCTGTTCGCCAGCTCGTGTATTTGTTATCGGTTATTTAATGTGATTTATTTGTAAGCGAATGTTGATTTATATCGCTCGAAGCGAGGAACAGTCAAAACTATAACAACAATATCAACTACCATGGTTTATCACGCACACGGGCACTGAAGTGGGTCAAAAAATAATTGGCACGCCCCTTTGCCCGTCTCTCCATCCAAGCTACTCCCCACACACACACACACACAAAACAGTTAACTTACTGTTTGTCCTTGTCCTCCCACATTGACCCACTTGGGTGGGCGTGGCACGAGCTCGAGCTTGGTTTTGTTTCTGTTTTGGCCAAGGCCAAGCTTTTTACTCCCATTACCGATTCACAATTACCTCACGACGCCACTCACAATTCACAATTGAGTTTTGTTTACAGACAAATCCAATCAATTTCGAAGTGAACATTAAATTAAGGATCTAAACAAGCCCGTGTTAACTTCTTGAATATTTAATGTCTACAAGTTTTCACTAGCTATTCTCATTAATAGTTAAAATCAATCATGTTTAGGGTGAAAAGTTTTTACCTTCTTTAAATAATTGATTTGTTGTTCTAGGGAGTTATAGGTTAAATAGGTTGTATTTAACTGTAATTCAAATGCTTAAGTTTAGTTTTAAATATTCAGGCTTAGTTAGTTTAGTTTTGTTCTTCACAAAAAGTAACTTTGAATAGCTTAAGGATCTTAGAATATTTAAATCAAAACTTAATCAAAAGTTTATCAACTCTGGGGAATTCCTTGAACCTTTTTCATTGCTTATGCTTTGCATTTACTTTCACTCAAGTGCGAGGCTTATTATCCAACTTGTGCAAAACAGTTTTTGCACCCCCACTGTCTGTTGTTATGGTTATCAACTTTCAACGCCTTTCGCACGAGCTTCAATTGATTGTCTGTGGGGGGAGAAGGGAGAGTGAGTGATGAGGGGGTGGTGTGAGAGGTGCTAGTATTCGAATTCACACTAATTACATTTCCATTGTGTTGAGCATTTGTGGCTTGTGACCTGTGTTTAGCTTATGGAGAGCAACAGGTGTTTTTAAGTTCTGATAAAAATACTTCTTTATACCAAAGCCATTCTGTAAATGTTTAACAGTTCCTAAGATCCTAATGCATTTTACTATAACAGTTTTGAAATTAAATACTATTAAAGGTGCAAAAAGTAAAAAAAAGTTTAAAGTGAAAGAATTTCAACAACTGTGAATCAGGACAAGTTAATAAAATTAAAATTAACACAAAAATATATATCCAAATAAAAATATTATCTTGTGTACGGTTTGGTGAACGCCGGAGCTGCACTTCCATTAGGCCTGGCATGTTGCATGTAATGCATAATTAGTTACCTCTTAATCGACCGCGTCCCCTTGGCGGGTGATCGCGTGTGTTTGCGGAATTTTGCAGCACCCCCGGGAACGGATACGGATGCATCATTATCCTCGTCATCATCATTATCATCATCGTGAGCGTCATCCGTCGTCGCGTTCGCGTTCGCGTTCGCGTTCGCGTTTTATCCACGCCCAACTGCACACCGCAAACATAAACAGAAGGAGAGCAAGAACGTTTATATCGGTTTCAATTAAATTTAATTTGTATCGTGTTGTAATTAAGGTGCCGAACACACTCACACTTACACTCAGATCAGACGCCGAGAAATCTCTAATTAATCTGCCAGACCAAACACACAAAACAACAACAACAACAACAACAACAACAACAACTGCCGCTGGGCTAATAAGAAGTGATTCATTCAATCTCAATTGAAAACAATTGAGCAATTGAAATGCTGTGAAAAAATGATCTACATTTATGCAATAAAGAAATACAAAGTATTTGAGTGCTCAGTGAACAAGTGATTTCCCCCAGCTCAAAATGGCTCAAAACTTGACCATGCTGGTGGGCGACAGCAACAACAGCAACAATGGTACAACCAGCAGCAATGAAAACAACAATAGCAGCAACACATCAGTTAACTTCAAGCCGAAGGATACGAATGGCTGGAAGGATTACAAGAAATTGAAAACATATCTCATTCTAAAGGATCAGCAAAGTGAAAAGGTAACATTGCTGGCGAAGCAATCTTGATAAAAGGGGGGCATTGACCCTATCGATATAACTGTCTAAAATATCTTTTAAAAATTTTTATCTTTTTTAAAAATTTGACGTGGAAATGGCTGATTTAGAATAAAAACGTTTTCACAACTACCGATTGTGAGTTTTGACACCCCTTTATTGCATTACCCAATATAACTTCGATTATACTATATCTATACCGATAGCAATGCCAATCGTTCGTTTTAGAAATCGTTCGTCGAGGTATTAAATATCCCCAAGCAATCAATCAATATTGACCCAAATTATAAACTAAACAAATAATTATTAGTAAAACCTATAGATAAAGAAGTAAGCTGACACGATTCCAACTATTTTATAATCCCTACTAACAAGAGAAAAAATACCATTAATTAATAAAAAATACTGCCTCTAAACTAAATACTTATTTATATCTACCTAAAAAGTGGCTAAAAAGTTGTAAAACAAAAGTTGTAAAAAAAAGTGTTTTCAACCGCAATCCCAGATCTCCTCCCACTTTGTTTGATAATTAACAGAACAAACGCTACAAAAGTTATGAAAGAACAGAAAAAAGTTGCCCATAAAAAGTTATTAAACGGTCATGACCCCCATTTTCGAAATGCTTATCAGCAGCATGAAAAGCACAAACAAACAACCAAGAATGAGGTCTAAAAGAGTTTTTTTTTTGTTTTTTTTTTTTGGGGTAGAGGGAAATAAAGTCAACGAGCGAGCATGGAAAGCGAACATAAAAAATGAACAACAGAACGAACATCTATAAAAAAAAATATGACGAACTTGTTTCTTCCACAAAAAGCCAACTGTCAGACGTCGGCCTGTAAGTGGGCGTAACTGGGGGCGGGGCATGGAACGGAAGGTGGAGACGCCACCGAGCCACTGGATCAATAAATATAGATGACATGGCACTGTCCAGATTGATGTGATGTGTATGCGAGCCGCATGACAAAGCAAACAAACAAAATGGGAAACAGAAACTTAAACAGAAACCGAAACAGAAAAAGGAACAGAAAGAGAAAGAGAAACACTCGCGCATAAATTCTCCCTGTAGGTATGGATACTTTTGTATCTAAAAGTTACCCATGCCGCTTGCTGGCCGTTGTGCAATCAAAATGCGCGCCTATCAATGTCAGAAAATCTGACACAATGAAATACGGAAAGTAAACAAACAATTAAATTTGCTTAGTGCCTAAATAAAATAAATTAATGCTCTTTACCCCGTCTCGCCACGCTTTTCTAATCTGAGTGGACAGCTGCCCAGATACAACGGCGATGTAGATGCATAGATACATAAATTCTGGCGGTCGGAATAAAAGACTAGCAGGCATAATCAAAAAATACATGAAAATTATCAAATAAAATGAGAGAATCTACTTGGTCGTATACGTAATATGCCACTTGTCATTCCTGTTGACGAGCTGTTATGTTTTTTTTTTTGGGGCGTTACAGTGTTGCATGAGGGTGTCTCCACGTGCGTATATTAATTTGTATAAACACAGATGACGTCGGGTTACGGGTTCCCGTGGGTTTGAGTGTGGGGGTTTCACAGGTCGTATACGTAACATACGTATGTTTATGACAGCAAGGAAGCGGAAAATTGTTGTGTGGAGATGTCATAATGCTATTTAATTAATGGATGAATGCAAATTTTTTAACTAGCCCTCATACATTAAATTTTAACTGATTTATAATACAGTTAACAAGTAAATTTCTAAGTCATATTTCAGTGTTTAACTCTTTAAATCAGTCTAATGACTGACTTTTGGAATACAAATATTTAAGTTGGGGTCAGGGATATTTCAGCATTTTGTAATCACTTTTATAATGCTTTGAATAATTCTTAGCTTATCTTAAAGACTAAACACAGAACAATTTTAAGCTTTTGAATACATTTAGTTTTTGTTTTTGTATAATGCTATAGCTGGTTGCATCATGAAATGTTTTATTCATGCGTGTCATTCTGTCAATCAACATAAGAGTAATTTATCAATGTCGTTTCTATGTCAGCATCTTGAACAATTATAAGCACCACAGCTTGTTTGCGATCTAAAGGTGTTTAAAAACTTAAATCCAGCAACAATATTTAGCTATAGCCAATTAAAGTCCCGCATTCGTTGGAAAAATAAATGTAAGATTTCTATTTTGGGGTTTACACACTAAACGGCGTTGTTGATCTTTGTTTGCTGGCATTTATTCACATGGCGTAGAGGTCATTACTGCGAATGCTACTTAACAGATGTTTGCTAAAAATCTCAGCTTTGTTAATCGATTTTAAATAGAACCATGTTTGTATTTTTCACACCTTCTGATGTGGTTTCTATGGAGAAGTGTAATCATCTCTTATATTGTGCTAAATGAATCTGCAAATTTCCGGATCAGCTTTAGTATTTATATTTCGCGTGCCTCAAGACAATGACTAATTTACATATTTAATACAAATTTTTCTTTAGGCAATCCATAAACCTGAATCGGAGCGGTCCTATCAGCTGCGAAAACGTTCGACGTTCGTGGCCGAAAGAACCACTTTCGTTTGCTACACCTGTGGATCGGATACGCCCTCTTCGCAACTGCGCCTTGTCTACTGCTGTCCAAATGCTGAAAGGGAACCCTATTATCCATTTATCAAGACCATTACAGTCTTCAAAAACGCTAGTCCAATTAGTCCGCAAGGTAAGTGCGTTGAGTACCAGTTTTGTCATCTCATCTAACGCAATTATCTCCCGACTTTCAGGCATGGTTCAGGTCTGTTCCACTTGCAACGAGAAGCACACTGGCTTGGAGATGGGTGGTCCACCTCCAGCTGCCTCCAGCACCCACTCAGCTGTGGGTGGAGCTTCTCCAAGCGCTGGACACTCGCTGGAATCGAACTCGGCCATGTATAGTGCCAGCGGAGGGATAGCCGGAAATAGTGGGGTCCAATTTGGAGGTCGTAACTCACCATCGGAAAAGTCCCTGGCCAATTCGGACTCCACGAGTAATGTGCGGTTTAGGGTAAGGAACTCATCCATAAATGGAAGTATAAATAGGTCACTTAGGATCTTAGCAACACGCTTTAACTCAGATACTACAAACTGAACTGAACTAACAAGTTCTCTTCAAAAACTCTCTGGATATAGGGGTTTGGCAAAAAATATGAAAAATTCCAAGGAAAATTGATAAAACTAGGAAGTTTAATTTTTCAAAAAGCTTATAGAATATAGAATTTAATAGAGTTTTACAATATTTTGTTTTATATCAGAAGCCTAGCTTATAACTATGACTCACCATGTTTCTTGAAGCTATGTAGTTACATAAAAATTCATGTAAAAGAGATCACTGTAACATACCCGTTAGCATTGGTATTGCCAAAATAAATTTGGTTACCACAGCCACATAATTAGTATTCGTAGATGAAAACAAAATGTAAAAATCCATTAGGATTCTGCTTTAAAGGAAAGTTGTACCATGAAAATAATTGTTGATTTCTTAAGAAAACTGGCTCCAACCGGAGCCAGTTGGCTCTTTTGAAGGCTTGACAATTAACAAAAATCTATAAAAAATAATACGATTTTAAGCATGCTACCGACTCAAACCCGTTCGTATTGGTTATAATGGGAAATGCTTTGTTTCATAAAACCAAATCTTGCTAGTTTACGCTGAAGAAATTGGTTATTTCATAGATGACGCAGTTGAATGAATCGATTGTCAATAACAATTTGTGAGGTGTACTCGAATGCGATTCTCATTTGCCTGCATCATAAATAATCCATTATATATATATATAATATATATGGGTATATTCACAGAGTATCAGTTAAGTGCGCAAACATGGAAATTTACTAGGGAGTGCGCGGGAGATAATAGTTATGGTGTACGAATATAGAAAAAAACAATGATTGCTTTTATTACAGCAACTGCTGGGAGACTAAGAGACTAAGAGACTGAGAGGATCGGATGGGATGGAATGGGATGGGATCGCCTGGGTCAGTAGCAGTGGCACTCGAAGTAGCGATGATAACATTGCTCACATTTCCAGCGATTAGCCGCACTCACTTGCCCCCGCCGCGAAAAACCGATAACCCAACTGAACCGGGCCCCATTAAAGTGCCAGGCGTCTGGGAGTGGGCCTATAGTCGGCAGATAGATGGCAGAGGATGGTTCACGACCTCAAATTGTTGAGTAATTCATTTGCAACCAGAAGGCCGTCGAAGAAAGAGAAGGATAGAGACAGAGACAGAGCCAGCTAATCAGCGTTGGGAGTGGGAGTTATGCCAGAATAAATTCGATCGTCAGCATGTTAACCAATTTGAGTCAACAAATGTCGAGATTAGATAGCCGGAACTCACGGCAACTCCGCATGTTCTCCTTTTTTTGGGGGGGAAGAGCAAATAAATATAGAGCAAATGCGAGTGGTAAATGAGGAGGGAAACCAAATGAAATTATCGTATAAACAAGACAACACACATATGCGGGGGCAATAAAAAACTGGGTAAACTTGGTCGAGTCAGAGTCACCTTTTTTTTTTCTGTCAGTTTAAGGCATCTGCTTCGAACCGGTTTAGTTGTCTGCTTTTTGCTTAATTCTACTTAAACGCTTTTTATTTATAGCCGGCTGTTGTTCTTGTTGCTGTCGTCTCAGCGCCTCAGTTTTGTTTATATTGTTTATTTTGCTTTTAGTTTTGTTTTGGCATTCTTTTTTTCCCTTCGTTTCTAATTTGAAATCTTTGAGCGTTTCGCCCGAGACAATTGAAAGACTTGTCGTCGCCTCGCAAATAAATTATTACAATCTCCTTTGGTTTACTCTTCATATTCGCATACGAATATGCTTAGATTTATGTTGATTTTATACATTTGAATATAGTGAATACTTTTGTTTAATCTCTGCCAATGTTTGTTGACTATTTGTATAGCTTAATTTGTCTTAAAGTCTTTTCTCTTTCTGTTTTTGGTTGATTTACTGTTTCGTTTTGCTGGTTTTAGTTTTGTGATACTGTTTCCTGTGTGGCCTTTAGACTTTATTTATATTGGTTAAACAGCTTCGTGTCAAATACAGCTAAAATTATACATTTTTTTAGGCAGCCTTGACAGAGTTGAGTGACTCGAACACAATTAAATTTCACAAATTATTTTCTTGCTTTCTTTGTAATTGCGAAATGTTTGTTTTTTAGTTGTTTGAACTGTTTGACATTTGTGTTGGCTTTGATTAAACAGAAGTCATCCGTTTGCGAAGCGTGTGGGTCGAAAAGAAGACGAAATTCAAACAAAAATTATCTTTAAACAGGTGCCTACAATTTGCTCTATTTTCTATATATCTGTTGATATGAGTACAATGTGCGTATATAGAAGCTTGCGTGTACTCAGTGTTTATTCAGGTCATTGCACAATCGGGCAGTGTTTTCGAAACTCGTTTTCTTGCATAAAGAAACAGTAAACTGAGCCACAAAATACGAAATTAAATATAGATAAATGCAAATATTTATCAATACGCCAGCGACAATAACAACAACTGTAACTCAATATTTAAACAATTCTTTCCGAATTGTTTACATTTGCATTGTCTTATTTGTTGATTTCTGTTTTCATTTTCATGCCGCTCTCGAGTATTTGCATTACGGTCTCAGGGCTTTGAATTGCAAATGTTTGGCTTGGCAACACTTGATAGAAGTATGATCCATATCTGCTGACTATCATATCCGTCCTTCCCCCAGATAACGCATTATAAAAGTCTGTAAATGTATAAAGCAAACACCTGCTTTCGCACTGAGCCAAGTCGTTCAACTTTCTTGAGTCGTAAATCGTACTAAGTGCTGATAAATGCTGAAAAAGCAAATAGTTTGGTAATAATTCCAATAAATTTGTCGGAAATAAAACCATTGAATCAGATCTGACAAATAGATATAACCGCCTCCTTAGCTTCTTTGTTTGTAGCTCTACTCGCAATAAATTCAATTGACCACAATGAGTTTGTAATTTTCGAAAAAGAATAAGAAAAGAATTCCACGTTTGACTTGAATGACCCTTGAAAATTAAATTATTTTCAAATATAGACCTTGTTGACATACTTCAACCAAATTCAGTTAAGTCATGATGTAAAAGAGTGAACAAATAGACCGAAAATTAGCTGTATTCAACTTTGAACTCAAGCCATGATTGATATCAGCTGTCGTAACCCCAAACCATCTAATTAGTCCTAAACGGACCGCGATAAGGAGCTTATGGTTTTGGAGAGGCATTCGCTCTCGCCCTCGAAATATAAGTCGCAAATCGAAGGGAGATAAGTGAACCGCACACTGTTCGAACCGGATGGAATCGGTTTTGCGGCAGAAGCCGAAAGCGAACCCAGTCGAACGCCAGTCATAGTCGAGTGCCTACTCCTTGAATAGCAAATCAAATGTATAAAATATTTAATAAAATTTGGTGGACTTTATTTTGTGTCGATTTGCTCGCTCGCTGATTAGATAGCTTCAAAGTGAGTCTTTTGGGGATCGTCGAGGCAGTAGTCATTCTGTGAAGGCGGCGTGTGCGTGATATTCTTAGAACTAATACACAATTAGCTTATACAATCTGAATGTTTTCATTTTCATTCCATTATTGATAGCCCTACGAGACGAACTCGAACAATTCCAACTCAAACACGGCACGTGACCTGAAACAAATTCGTCGCAGCGATTCGCGCCCAAATTCGCCGAGTTCCAGCCAAGGAGCCATTGAAAATGGGCACGGACAGTATCCGTAAGTGAAATATCCGGCAGTTATCCTCTCGGTACTTGTAACTAATGTGTCTCAATTTGCATTTTACAGTTGCTCCATTTGCAAAGTGCTTTGCCCATCGAACAAAATGGATTGGCTGTCCACAAGTGCCGAGCACATGAACTCCCATGCCATGCACTTTCCCTGTCTCAAGGCCAGTGCCGTAACCAGCAATAATAACAATAATAGTAATACCAATAACAACAACAACAATAACAACAACAACAACGAGCTAAACAGCAATCGCGTGCTGGCCTGCAAGGACTGCAAGGATTACCTGGCCAGCCAGTGGGAGTCAATGGATGCGGAACGGGTTCCCCTCGAGCATAGAAGGTTCTTCATTAAAATTCCATATATTTCATAACCTGAACGGATCTAATCTGTCGTTTCCTTGCAGATACAACATTCCCTCGCCCATGCTGACCTCCAGCTCACCAAATGGATCTCGGCACGGCGCCATGAGCATCAACACTCCGCCCTCCACGCCATCCATATCATCCTCGACGCCTGCCAGCACGTCCATCTACTGCTATCTATGCGGATTGCACTCGGACCTAACCTTAGCCAGAGTTCTCTATGCCAGCAAAGAGGTAGAGTCTTCAAAGGGGCAGATATAGTTATAGTAACAGGCCAAGAAGGAACACACAACGTGCTATCAAATTATTAGTTAGGCAAAACAGTGATGCGTTCGTTGTCGTAAGGCAGCAGTCCCTATCTCGCGGAAACAGAAAAATACTCTGTCGACACACGCATAGCGCAAATTAATTAATTAAACAAATGGAGGCCAACATGATATTTTACATTGTATGAGTGTGTGCCGAACGCTGTTTTAAAGTATTTATCGATATACATTGCAAAAAGTTATACTGCCACTACCCTATCTCATAAAACCGCAGTCGGCACACACACACTGACAAGTTTAGCCATGCAAATTACTCGCACAAAAAAGGGCGAGCATTTTATGTTATGTGTGCCGACTAACGCTATAATATATCTTTAAATTACATTTTATATTGTATAGGAGATTCGTAGATTTATTTCTAACCGAGAATTGGTTTAAAAAAATTGATTGTGATCTAGCAATATTAGGAAGAAGGAATAATTTTTTTCCTAAAATTATGTCCTAACACAGTGTAGCCAAATATTAACAAAAACACGTTATTCAGACAAAATTTATCAAACTAAAACATAAAAATTACTGAAAAATTAAAAAGGGACAATAATACTTAAAATCTGAAAATGAAGTTCGGCAAAAAAGTAAAAATTGGTTCAAACAATATGAGCACCTTATATAAAGTAAACGCACATTTTTTTAAAAGCTAAGAACTAATACTAAATTTGTGGAAAAGCAATCAAGCAAAAAAAAAACTATCTCACCATTAAGCAAGAAATTACACATCAAATACCATTAAGGCACACTTTTAAAACGATAATGAGTGATTGTTGGGCTTAAGTAGGAAAAAGACTTTTAGGTATTAAGAGATTAGTTTCTGTTTTAGCTCAACTTGCAAGACCTTGACTTATTTGACTTATTTGTATAAATGCGTTTGTGTATGGCATAATATTGTGATCGCTTGCCAAACATGTAATTTGCTGATAAGCTTAGTTATTTTCCTGTTGCTCAATGAAGGCAATGACTGCGCTCAATCAATATTGATACCCATTTCTGGGTAAATACGTTGTTACACAATATGTGTGCCGATTGTTTTAGATAGCGTTCGCACTGAATTACATTCGGCGTAGATATCAAATAATGTTATCTTTTTTATGTTGTGCATTAATTAGTTTAATTTAGCAATGAGAAGAATAGTGCGGGAAAGACTTTGCAACAAATTTTGTTCATATTTTGGAAGATTCTACTTACTATGTTTTAAAAGCGATATAAAATTCTATTATTATAGTTTTACATAAACATGTAAAATTGTAATTTGTTTTTAGAAATAATGTCAACACAATAACGATTTTTTTTATCTAATTTGCGAGTTTGTGAATGTAGCTAACTATATGATTTGATCAAAAAGAAATAACTAAATCTATTAAAGATTTAACTACAATAACAACATTTATTTTCTGTTTTTCACCAGGGATCGCGGCCGTATTTTCCACTGTTACTGAAACACAATTCACTTCCCAATGCTGAGCAGTTAAGGAACAATTCGGCCCTAGTTTGCACCTTTTGTTACCATTCCATGTTGAACCAGTGGCGCAAGTAAGTAAACTGCCTTTAATCTCAGATGTTCAAATACTCATTGATGGGATTTCCCCTGTCTTGCAGGTACGAGGCGCAGAGTCCCAACGTGAATCCAGCGGATCGTAAATATAATTGGCACGACTACAACTGTCACCTGTGCGGCATTACGACTTACCGGAAAAGAGTACGGGCGCTCCCCGTCAACGAGTTTCCCTTCGTGAAGCACCAGAAAAGCGACGATGGCCTACTGCTAGAGAACGGAGAATATGCGGTGGTCTGTCTGGACTGCTACGAGAGTTTAAGGTGTGAAGCTAAGCAAAGAATATTGATCTGATTATTAGTTTAAAGAAACTGCCAGATTTTGCATTAATACAACCAAATCAGAAATGCAAACGATACAACATGATTCAGAATGTTTTTTTATCCAGTTCATGAAAGTGTTTATAGAAATTGAAAGATTCTCTGTTCCTAACGTGCTGTTCTATAAATTTAATTTAGAGTTGTTAAATATATTACTTCTTCAGTTTGTTTAGATAAATATAATTAGATAAACCTATTTTTTTATATCCCTAATGAACACTACCCAAACAGGCTTTATAAAATATGTTATTTCAAATGTTTTCCAAGACCCTAAAGAATTGTGGGGTGTTTAGTAAAGCCAGATTCACTACTGGACAAATATTTTTTGAGATATATAAGGCTTGGATTGGAATTCGATCCAAACAAGTTATAACTGGCCGCCATCATTTAAATCCTCTTACTATCTCGATCAAAATTTATGGAATCCGAACTGATAACTAATTCGCAGGGCTTATACAACACAATATTACCTATTTTCAGATAAATGTAGTGTCATAAATTTCTATTCCCCAAAATCGAAATCGACTGTCTTATTTAATGTATATATTACGTAGTATTTTGAGTTTTTAAGTTTGACTAAAACGTTTTTAGGGCATAGTTGCTTAATTTGTGGTTCATGTTAGTAGCGAAAAAAACAGTTATGTTCGGTCAGTACTGGTTTGCATCACTGATAAGAAGTTCATTGCCTTTTTTGTGCGCATGAAAGTGAAAACGACCACCGTCTGTTCTTGATATGGTATGGTATTGGTATTACTAATTAATATTTTTTTCATTTGTGTAGACAACAAGCCTCGCAACACGATCGCTTCGGGGTGCCCATTTCCAGGCGGGCCTACAACTGGGTACCTCAACCACCTCCACCGGAGGACAGTCCCGAATCCGCAGTGGCCCGTTTGCCCTGCGGCGAGCGCTCCGATCGCATTGTAAGTATTTATTCAACTTCCAGTAGCTGGGCAATGCAACCTGACCCGTGTCCATGTGCCAAAACTCGCCCCCAGCTCATCAGCAGTGCCTTGAGGCCCGTGCCAGGGAAGAAGACCACGTCGCCGAAGCAGTACGACAAGTCAAAAGAAGGTAAGTGACTCTGTTCTCTGCTGGCGGGGAAAACCGATATGATTCCGCCCGACTTTTGGTAATGCGAAACGACAAGCCTGCGCCCCGGGGTTAGCGGGTTCAAGTGAAACCCAATTCGCGTCAATAAATTTCAATTGGTTTCACTTAACTTTGAGTGTTCGGCGTTGGCCGCTTTGCTCGGGCAGTTCAATAATAGCCTTAGCTCGGCTCGTTTAGCTTTCACTGGTTTGGGTGGCAAAAGTAGATGGCTTTGCAGACTATTTTGCATTTTACCACAAAAAGAGTTAAGCATTTGTTAGGAATCCGTTCCCCTGCCTGTCTATTTATTTTTTAAATGGGTTGAACAGTATTATGCACATGCAAATGGGTTTAAAACGGTGCTTTGGCGAGATTTTAAAACTCCCAACTTCGATACTAACTTAATCAAAGTATTTTGTGTGGTGACAAACTTTAATATTCTGAAAAAAATATAAGGGTTGAGATATATATCATTGCCATTGAACTTATTGATTTGGTTATTTACAAAAATGTAATTAAAACATAAGGAGGAATTTTTATTAAGTACATTTTTAATACTTATTTCAAATTAACAAACACATCTATTGAATCGTAAAATAATAGTAGCTGATATGTAGAATAATATTGTGGATACAAGTCAGGTCTCTTATGTTTTGGAATTAAATTGAAAATAGCAAACTAATTTTTCAAACAGATTCATGATTACTCATTTGTCTATTCCTCAAATTAAATTTTTGGTATACCTATATCATGTTTCTACAACTGGCACTCAAGAGTCCTTAATCCCACATGAATACCCACCATGTACTCTGAAAAATCTCTGCAAAAGCTTCTCTAATTGCATTTACCCAATACGAATGCAGAGGAAAAACTTCAACCTGAATAAGAAATCAACTGATTAAATGCCCAATAACAAGCTAAGACCACAAGGAGGGTTTCATGTACTAGCTGTTGAAATAAATATTGATTTTTTATGAATTGCAATGGGGCTGGGGGTGGCAGTGAGTGTTTGCGCCCTCTTTCCTTGCTTATTTATGCAGCAGCAATGGCGTCGGTAAACTTCTTCAATAAAATGCCAAAAAGGAAACATCATAAAAATAAATAAACAAGAGAAACCACAAGCACACAGACGCGCTCCCTCTATGTATAAGTGTGTGTATAACTTTGCACACGAATTTTTATGCAGCCCACCCAGAACAGCACATCGAACGAACGAACGAACCACCCACTCAAAAACCACCTACAAATGCTACTTCCGACAACAGAAATCCCCCAACGAAAGGAGAACGAGAACGAGAACGAACGACCGACCGAGCAAGCACAAATAATAAAAGCAACAGCATAAAGTATTTCGAATTGAATTACTCCGTGTTATCCTGTCAACCATACGAAAACACTCAAGACCATTCAACATGCCACACACTTCCTGTCCCGTGTACACCCACTGTAGCTCACTGTAGTTCCCCCGGGGGAAACCGAGACCCCACCACCCACCACCCACCACCCATCACCCACCACCCATCACCCATCACCATTGCACCCACCGTTTAAGGAGTTGGCATCGATTTGCAAAAAGTATATTACCACCCGGAAAGAGGGGAACTTTGCCCCCTCCCGTGCTGCCAATAAAATGAAGTTATGCTCTATGGGGTTGGGTGGTTGAGTAGTTGAATAAGTAAACATAAAACCACTGAATTTACGCTTATTGCACCCGCAAACATTTTGTTTAACACAACAACAGGCGTCGTCGTTGTGACTCCCTTTCTGTCTATCATTCTTTCTCGTTTGCACATTCAATACCGCTATCTCTCTCTCTCTCTGCACAGTGGGTTGTGTGGGTGTCATTTCCGGCCTCAATTTCAAAAGAAGCTCAAATTTCCACACAATTTTCCGGCTTCGCTCTTTGCCACTTTGGCTCGTCTCGTCTTGTTTCGTTTCGTTTCGTTACTTTTCGTTTCGTCTCTTTTCGTTTCGTTTGCTCTCGGAATGGTTTTTTGCACCACCAAGTTGGATTTTTCTCCCCCACCACCACCACCACCACCCCATCCCGCAAGGAAACCCCAACCGCTTTCCCCTCTTTTTGACTGACAGCCGTTTCCTCGTTGCCACTTGTTCAGTCAGTCACTCAGCAAGGACCCAACATCCAACCCCTCCACAACCACAATTCTGTTTTTGCCGCCTTTGGTTGTGCTTTTTACTTTTGCCACATCTTGTTGTTGCCCAAGTTGCCACCTTTGCCACAAAAATATTTCAAGCACTCACCACCCCAAACCACCGCCCCCCTCCCCGCCCCCTTCCCCCTTTGTTTCCGTTTTGCGTAGAATAACAGTTACATTATCCTTTTTATTGCCACACTTTCCAGACACGAATGCCAGGACGAGACTGAAAGAAAAGTGTGAACGAGACAGCGATTGCGGGCAGGGGCGTAGTTCGTGGAAAGTGCTTGGGGTAGGGGGTGAAAACCGAGGCCCAGACACAGACATATTTGGCTTGTGGCAAGCTACGACGTAACCCCCTCTAACCGACCTCTTTTCCATCGCTATTTCAGTTTATTGTGCTCGACCCCCTTTTGCACACCTCCATTTTTTGAACTTCTAGGAAATTGTGGGCAAAAAATGTGCATTGCATTTATACTTGCTAGAGCTCGGCTGACTCGAGTCGCAGTAAATTGTGGTAAACACGAAGCCAAGTGTTTGGAGAGTATTTACTCGGCTGTGGCCCACGGTGGTGCCGTCTGCACGCACAGTGGGTCGCATCGCCATTTGCATAATTGGCAAACATGATTGCAGACAGAGGAGTTTGTGCATGATGTATATTCAAGGGGAATTATGCAAAATAAAATTGACTTCTAGCCATAGATTATGGTGATTTTCTTTACCCGTGAATATTTAATAAACGGTGGCTGTTTTTTTTTTGTCGTGAACTACGCGGAAATGTTGCGAATTTGAAAATAAATTTTTCTACAAATGTTTACTCTTAATAATTTTTATAGGGCAACATTTTAATTTAGTCTATAAAAATAAACTTTTTAATTAAGATAAGTTTTTATTGCCCCTTTTAATTTACAATTTACCGTAAAATAAACATTCTACATTGCTATAAATGGTTAAGTGCAATTTTCACATACACGCGTTTAAATGTTACAAATTTCGCCAATTGATTCACATGCTAAAACGGTTTATTGTCTTGCCCATTTCGACAGGACATTTTCCATTCCGAGCAACACGCTTTACATCTTCGTTGGTATCGCAGTCTTACAACTTCATCCCTTTGTAATCATCATCATCTGTTAGCAGCAGCTGATTTATCCCACACACCCACAGCTAAAATATATGCATATGGTGGTGCTCGTGGTTGTCAGCACATAACCTCAACTCACTTACAAGGGATTCCCCTTCGCTTTCGAATCCCTCCCCTCGCCCCCTGCCATTTCTTCTCCTTCTCAGTGCACACATAAAGCGCTGATGTGGCATGAAAAAACATATAAATTCTGCCAATCGATGAAGATAAAATACATTTTGTAATACGTTAGCCCACCACCACATCGACCCCTCCTTTATCTGGGACGTCTGAGGTCAACCGTTTGAGTGTGGGCGTCTTTTGGGAGTCAACGAAGTGTGCAACGTCAACTCGCACACACACAGGCGCACAAAAAGGCATTCCGTGTGGGTGTAAGTGAAATTTCAAGTGGCGCTACCAAGGCAAACTTCGGCATTGACTCTTAGTGCGCCACCCTGCACATATGCTTGTGGGTACAGTGGAACCTCCTTAATTGAGTTTCTGAGAGTTTTTGAAACTGTGGTCCGATTTATTTACAGAGCATAAAACTTTTAATTGTTTATGAATGTATGTATGTACATCTTTTGAAGGATGAAGAAAAACCTCTGCTTAGTAATGTACGAGTTGCAAACATTTTGAAAAATTATTTTGAGATAAAAAAAAAACTAGTGACAATTGCAGGAGGTATAGAAGTTCAGGTTAGAGAAGTTCTGCTGTATATCTGAGGGCGAGTGTATGGAAACCCTTTAAAAGCTTGTTGTTGCCAGACACATAAACGTTTAGCCCATAAACCCTTGATGTATGGAACATAAACACCACACTTGCAAGTGCCACTCATTCGGTGGTTTCTGGGGATCGGGGTTCCGGGCAGCTGGGGGCAGGCATTGGGGTTGGGGATAGGGCTGGAGTATCCGAGGTATCGTGGGGATTGTGGCCCTGGTGTCAGTGGTTAGTGGTGGTGGTTGCTTGGCAGCTAACTGCTAACTGAAATCCAATGTGTGCCCGGATACAGGCTTGGGTTTGGGTTTGGGTTTGGGTTCGGGTTTCGGGCTTTCAATCCTGGGTTCTGAGTCCGGCAACCGCAATGTCAATAAATATGTTACGCCTGACTCGTCCTTTTTTCCCTCCAAGAGGGCTGTTGTTGGTTAGCAATTTGGTTAAACATATTTATTTGAGGGTAGTGGCCGGTAGTTCAATCCCTTCGGCACCGACTGTGTTTTTATTTTGTTCAATTTTGAACGGAACATAGAGTTGGTCGTAACAATTTCTGTATTTACCAATTCAATTTGAAGGCATCAATTTGTTTCCGACAATTGCAGACACAGTTCAGTAAAAATATTTGCATTTCGTCTGCCCCAAAAGAAATTGTATTGCATTTATAAGCACAAAGTTTTCATGTTCAAATTACATCCTTTGCTGTCGTATTAATTGTGAGAGATTTCTGTTATCCCAGGCTTATGAGATCTTCGTTGGCTGGCAAAAAGTTTTTGCCGAAAGATAACCTTATTGTTGCTGCAGCAACTTTTTGGTTTTTCTTCGTTACTTTTTTGTTGGCAAAAATTGCAGTCCCAAATTTAATTAAAAACTTGACAACAACTAAGGACTCACATATTACACAGACAGACTTGGAGTTTTATCAACCCTCAAAGTGCAACTGTGAAAAAGAATGGGAAAAGGAGGTGAAAGCCCCAAGACACGAACTG